CGGGCTGGCTCAGTAAAGCAGAGGCAGCGGGGGAAGATGGCGGCGGCTGTTCCGCAGCGGGCCTGGACCGTGGAGCAGCTGCGCAGCGAGCAGTTACCCAAGAAGGACATTATCAAGTTTCTGCAGGATCATGGTTCAGATTCGGTACCGGAGGCGACGGGGCGGCCGGGCTGGTGTAGCAGAGGGACACTTCACCCCCCCCCCCGGAGATGCCCATACATTCCGTATTCCTCCCGCCCCCGCCCTCGCTCTCCCGCGGCCCGTGGCCTGGAAGGCCGGAGAGGCCCGCGTGCGCCCCCCGAGCTACGCTCCCGCCCTTCGGGCCGCTCTGCTCGGGCGAGTGGAGCCGCTGAATCTCTTGGGCCATACGGCAATCTGAGATTTAGAACCTCATCGGGATTCTAGAGTGAGGATGGAGGCCGTGAAAAAACAGGAACCCAGGAGAAATTGGGGGCTGAGGCGGGGGCCGGAGGACTGGAGGCTTGGATGAGACCCTTGTGAAGGGAGTGTGGGCTTTTAGGGAAGAGAGGGGATGTGAAGATTTCGGTGGGAACCGTGTGTGAGATTTGCTTTTCTCATCAGTTACTAAATAGTGAACACAAATGCGTGTGATTTTTTTTTTAAGCCGTAGATTGCGGTTTACCTTTTAAAATGTCGACCCTTTAAATGACCTTCATATTTAGGGGAGTTACATGCGCATTTCGTATACAGTGGTCCCCCATTGTTATAAACAAACTAAGAAATCTATTTGGCATTCTTTATGCTGAACGCCCTGCGTTTTTCAGCACAGTCTCCATTTTAACTACCCTCTAGTCACAAGTCAGACTTGACTTCTTTTCCTTCGGAAATTAAGATCATTCATACCTCTCTTAATTGCTGAATAACTACAATTTGTGAGCACGCAGCATCGGCCACTTATGGAAATTAGAAGCAGTGGTCTGTATGTGATTTGTCTACAGTTTTTTACTTAATTTCTAAACTTGCATTTAGAAAAATTGTTTCTGGGCTCTTTTCAGAAGATTGTAGTTTATTTTCATTTTGCGGGCTCTTGAAGGGGGGGTATAATTATTCTCCAACTTCCAGCCTCGAACTCCTGAATAATTATCCTCACATCAGCAAATACTTATACATCTACAGCAAGAACTATGCTCAGTGTTTGGGGATACGAGGGTAAAAATAAAAGACCGTGCCTCAGGGATACCATTTATACTATTGTACCACTTTAGTGGAATTATTTTCTCTTACGCCAATTCATATTTCACTGAAACAATAGAGCAGACATTTATTAACATGTAATGCCTCAATACTATATTCATCAAATTCTTACAAAACAAATCATCCCAAGGTGGAATCTAATGTAAAACTGGCCTACTTTGGACAATTTGAAGAGACGTGGATTATCAAAATATTTTTTATAACATACTAATCTTTTAAGTATATATTCACCAGTGTTCATTCACATACTTAAACCTATATTTGACAATCACTATTTTATTGATCATAAGATATCAAGGAGATGTTTATAATTCAGATATTTTTCTGGAACCTTGCTAAAGAAGTCAAGTGCTGAAGCAACTGATTACTTCTGTTTAGTCAAAATAGCCTTTTCCACAAGCTTTTATCACTTAACATATTTCTCTAAGAGGGAAAGAGAAAAAGAAAAAAAAATACAACAGTGATAGTGTTAGAAAAACTGCTTTATCGGAAGGTTAGAAGATGCTAGAGAACAACTTTGAGAAAGTAACAAAGTGAGGAATCAAGCAAGGACCACAAGGCAGAAAAGGAAGCAGAATAAAGTAAGGGAAATAAAGAAGTTACTAAAATCCCCATGTACATGATTTTGAGATGAAGGTACATGATTCTGAATATTTGATATTTAAGTAGTAGTATTTTAGTGTTCATCTGACTACTTAGTGTTATATTTGAGAGAAATGGAATTCTACTGTTGTTTGAGTTATTGAATACATTATTTTGTTAATCTAATAGGTAATATTTGAGTTTTTACTGTGTGACTGGAAATGAATTGTTACATTTATTCTTACAGGAAGCCTCTGACTTACAATGCTGTAATTAATGCTGTGATGTAGAAACTGAGTCTTCAGGAAAGCTTAGTCCCATGTCTAAAATTAGAGAGTTAAGATTTTATCCCAGATGGTCTGACACCATAGTTCACACACTTAACCACTGTGTATCCAGCATTGTGTAACAGTGCTTCCAGGTATGCCAAGAATGGATAACAGATACGTCAAGATAGCTATACCCAACATGGCTGGATGCTCCCAGGGCACAGGCCAAGTAACATCTTCCCGGGAGCAGCTTCGCCCAGTTACCAAAGTGTGCTTGCTGTATAAATGTGCTTTTTTGTGAGCTCTGTGATAGGAAAAGGATTAATACACACCAGTGTGACTCCCATGTAATATTACAGCTCCAATCTTTGAATATAAAATGTTTTTTAATCTTCATTAAATCTTGTTTTGTTATGGAGTATAAAATATAATGTTCCATTTCTTTTATCATTAGTAGTACGATTGAAAACATAATTGCTAACATAAAAGTTCATTTTCTAATTTTAGATCCTTTCTTACATGAGGGAAATTAATTTGACTAACCAGCTTTTTTCCTTACAGTTTCTTGCAGAACATAAATTACTAGGAAACATTAAAAATGTGGCCAAGACAGCTAACAAGGACCATTTGGTTACAGCCTATAACCATCTTTTTGAAAGTAAGGTGAGTATTGTTACATTTTACTACCAGAATATCATTTTAGATATTTTGTTCCCAGAAGAAGTTTTAAATGCATTTATCTGCAGAATATGTTGATGGTCTTTCTGCCTACAGTTTTTCTTAACTATAATCACAAATGGACTGTCAAATTTAGCAAGTCTAGTCTGCAGTATGGCAGAATGTTTTGATATTTTGAAAGGGAAAAGATTTTTAAAAAATAATTCCCTGGTAGCTTAAATTAAGCAAATTCTTAAGGACACTGAAAAGTTATAAATCCAAAGTAAGTTCCATTTCATTAATGAACTTAACGTCTTGGTTAGACCTAAGCTGAGCATTTAGAAAAGCAAATTTTAAGAAAATCCCCAATACATGTTCACTATGAAATGACCATCTTTCTCAAGAAAAGAATATTAAGTAGTTGATTGAATAGTATTCATATCTCTGAGTCTGACTTGGGTCTTTCTAAAGGTTATAGTTCTCGTGCCAGAATTTGTTTTGTGAGATAGTTTGATGATTAAAATGCTTAACATAAGATTCTTCCTTTGTTCTTGGCCAGACCTGAATATGATAAATATTAGTCTACTTTCCTTACAGCGTTTCAAGGGTACTGAAAGCATAAGTAAAGTGTCCGAGCAGGTGAAAAATGTGAAGCTTAATGAAGATAAACCCAAAGAAACCAAGTCTGAAGAGACTCCGGATGAGGTTTGTATATAATACATTCATATTTTATTTCTCATGGGAATTTGAGAAAAAGTATTTGTTTTATAGCACTGATTTTGTATAATAAGGGGTGGTTGAGTATGGCTACTTTTAGTGAGCCAAACACTGGTTTGGAGTGTGTTGTCTCCCTTAGGTGTACTCAGTAAGAAAAAAAACCTAAGAACCAATGCTTTACAAATAGTAAGCCTCTCCTGTGAAATTCCTCTAGCTTTGTATTTCATATTGCCTCTCTGTCTGGCCAGAACTTCTGAGCTTTCAAAGCTATTTTAAGGTCCTATTCTATAGCTAAGTTGGACTGAGTGAAAGAAACTTCCTTTTGATTATTTTTAGCTTTTTTAAATATAGATGTTGTCCTTGGCAATAGGAATAGTTAGTTTGGGCCTGGCTGCTGAGTGTGGGTTAATCTGTCTCATCTTTCCTAACCCAGGTTCTATATTTTGGTACCAAGGTTTGAAGAACCAGATAAAACCATTTTTGCAAATGGACAGCCTTAGTACAGTGAAGGACAGCTCTTAGAAAAGCCTCAGTCGAGCTGAATTGATTATTATCTTGCCACTTTTGATAATATCTTGGCTAGTAACTAAGCTTACTCATTCCTAGCAGTTTTAGTGTCAGTGATAGCAATCTAATAATAATAACTTGATAAATGTCATATATATACCAGGCAAATACTGAACAGGTACTAAGGTAAATAGAGGTATAATAATTACTAAAAGGGTGGCAAAAGCAATTGGCAATATAGTTTACCTTCCCAAAAATTAGAGTAAGGGAGGTATGAGGCGGCCAGTAATAATATCATTAGGAGGTTAAAAAAAAGAGTTACAAATAAAAGTAAAAGGCTGTAAGGGCTGGAAACAGTTTAGAGAGCTCTTTTGAGGGTTCTAAATTATATCCTTTAAGACCTCTTTTCATCTCATTTCATTTAACTGGTCAGCCTGAGCCCAATGATGTGATCTCATTGTCTTCCTAGCACCTGGATTCCATAATCTCTTGGCCAGTACTTTGCTGGTCCCTGCTGTCTGCTTTCTCTGTTCACGCTGTGGGACTGCAGAGCAAGCACTGTAAAGAAGAATAATCATAAAACTTTCCAGTGGGCTTCATATAAATTACTGCTTAATATTAGCTAAGCATGTTTTCTAGTTTCACTGCTACTCAGCATCTCTTACGCTGTCCCTTACTCAGTTCCCCACCACATTGCCTACATAAACTGCTTGTCACTTTCCCCGGAATTTGCAACCCTTTTACTCCTTTCTCCATTATATACTCCTGTGTTCTATTTTGCCAAGATATTAACATACATAATTGTAATCTTTCTCTTCTCCCCAGTTTAAAAGTTCTCTGAATCTTTGGTTCTTTTTCCTTCTCATGTTTCCCTCAGATGTAAGGCTCTCAGACATCTTTTGCAAATCTTCATCTTTTCCTTTTTGATTTTCAAGCATTCCAAGGCCTCATACCTGGAATATTCGAAAAGTCATTCAACTAATCTGCCTTCATTCTCTTTCTTCATCGTTCAGCCCCAAAAGGGCTATTCTAGTAAGCTTTCTGAAATAGTAGTATATTGTCTGTTATGTATTAAGTGGTATTGAGGGAAGTTTTCAAGTATGAATGAATGTTAGACAAGAGAGAAAGTGTAAGCTGAATCAGGAACCCACACTCAGAACTTAGAACCAAGTGTAAAAATACTCAAGTGAAAAACTTGAGATTCATCCTTTGTAACTCCTTTACATCTAATCACCACATTCTGTTGATTCTGCATAAATGTATCACAAAACTGCATCTTTTGTCATTCTCAACATTTGCACCCTAGCGTAGACCTAGACTACTAACCTCTTCCTAACAAGTCTCCTCACTTCATTTCTGACTCTCTATCCGTTCCTCACGGTAGGTTACACTGATGTGTTTAGAACACAAATCTGATTTTGTAAGTGGTAATTGTCTGCTCAGTGACCTGAAGATAAAAACCCAGATTCTCAACATGTATTACTTGTCATTCTAGCCTTGTCTCATACCATTCTCTTCCCTCCACTGCAGACTGGGCAATATTCATGCTCTTTGCTAGCTATGAAAGTGCCATTCTCTGTTGTAAACCTTCCCCTTTTGCCCAAGTAACCTTCTTTTGTCCTTTAGGATACTGTGTAAAAACATTACTTCAAAGAAGCTTCCACCAGCCTGTAGCCTATACAAAGTCGTGTCACTGTGTCATTCTCACATTAGCACCCTGTGCTTCCTCTATAGGTCTCAACATATGACATTATACACGTCTGTATTCTCTGTTAGAGGAAGGGCCAGAACCAGGTCTGCCAGCCCGCCGTTGTACCTCCAGTTCCCAGCACAGGGGACATGCTCAAATATTTCTTGAATTAATAATAATTACGTAATATACAGTTGACCCTTGAACAACATGGGTTTGAACTGCACAGGTCCTTATAACCCACAGATTTTTTTCAGTAGTAATTATTACAGTACTGCATGATCCTCGATCCTCAAGTTGGTTAGATCTATGGATGCAGAACCACGTATACAGAGGAACCATGTAGAAGGAGGGCCAGCTGTGGGTTACACTTGGATTTTTGACTACAGAGAGGGTTGGCACCCCTAACCCCCCGTTGTTCAAGGGTCAGCTGTACTTTCATTTTAGAGGCCATGATGTGGTCTAGTTAATTGCAGTTATAATGATTACTCTCAAAAGTTCCTTTATCTCTGTGTCTGGAAGCATCTAGTTTAGCCCTAGTCTCAGGAATATAGTTCTTTTTATCACTCTGGACTAAGAAATTGCTGCAAAGCCAGGAAATAACCTTAAAGCCAGATTCATTCAAGTGCATAACTCCAGGATAGCCTTGGGACTGATCTGACCTCTCACCAGGAACCAATCAGGTTCTTATAATGAAATCTAAAGTAAGATCAAATAATTAAAGCACCATTTTACAAGGTATGTAACATAGGTCCCAGAAGTTCCTGGTGGTTTTCTGGCATCATCAAAAGCTTTTGTCTCCTACTTGAAGAGTCACAGTGCATATGAGCCAATGACAGCTCTGAGAAGTTACAGCATAGAGGCATATTTAACTTTATCATAGTGTTTCCCATAGGCCCCTTTTCTTCTGACAATGCCAAGGAATGGGTGATCCCTAAAAGATACTTTGTGAAACACTGAAATCAAGGCCATAGTAGGCTTATGCCTTCACCATTAAGACTGAGATATAGCCACCAATTTATTTGTTTTGCACTATTCTAGGACCTCTAATGTTAATAGCACAACATGCCCAAGCAGCTTGTGACAACAAATGGGAAAATAATGGGATGACATTGTTTTAAACTGTGGCTATTGTTTGCTAATCATACCTTATCCATTCAAATAGTTACATGTAATTTTCTTTAATAAAGGCCTGATATCCTCACATGAAATATATATGTAGTCATCCTCATTTTGTAGCTTTTAAATACTTTTAATTATTTTTTTTAAATTTGGGTTATATGTTAACAGATTTCAAGTCAACTATAGTCCTTAAAAATCATTTATTTCTCTAATATAAAAATAACCTGCTATTTCTAAAATAGGAAATAACAGGAAAAAACATAATTCCAACACCTAGAAATGAACACTTTACATTTTGAATATTTTCTATGTGTATATTTATTGAAGTGATTGAGATTTTACTGTAGTTAGAACTTTCTATTGATTTTTCTCTTAATCTTGGAAGACTTTTTCCACAATACTAAAAACTGAGTATTATATTATCATAAATGTGTGGCTATTTTGCTATTATGTATAACAGTGATTGAATAACTGCGTAATGATTTTTTCCTAAATTTCAAATTGTCGAGCATATATTTGTATAAATAAAATTATTATTTATCACCCTTTTAACATTTTGAAATTGCATTCCAAAGAGATGGCACCAGTTTACACTGCTAGCAGTAGACTTCTGACCACTTACAGTAACATTTCTTACTAAAGCAAGCTTGGAATGGGTCAGGAAGAAAGTTCATGCTTACTTTTGTAATACACTTTGCACTCAAGCTATAGGTGTGACTTTTGATTTAGGGAGGTAGCCTAGCTTTATAAAGCTGAAAGTGCCAATCCTTAGACTGAATTGGAAGGGCTTTAAACCCTATCGAGGCCTTACTACTTTCTCTATAAAAGATGGGGAAAGGACTGCCAGGTTGCTGTGAGGTTAAATAAATTGACATAGAAAATGACTGTATAGTATGTGACATTCCATATGTGCTTGAGAGGTTAAAAAAAAGTGGTTAAGAGCTTGGGTTTTATATCCAGTCAGCCTAGTTTCCAATCCTATTCAGACACTTTGGAGCTCTAGGACCTTAGGCAAGTTAATAAACCACTGTATCCTTGTGTTTCCTATCTGTAAAATAGGGATAAAAATAGTACCTACCTCATAAGTTAGTGACAATTGAGAGTTAATTGATATAAATCATTTGGGATGTTCTATGGTGTAAAATTCTATGGATTCTTAAGTTTGACTAAGAAATTGCTTTCTTCACATATATTCCTCACACTGTTGATTATATTAATCTTACACTTTTTTATAAAAAGCCCTTGATAATCCTGCTTTGTTCTAGGAAGTATGCCTCTTATGGTAATTTCTATAGATAATTCCATTCATTATGTGAACTTACTTTCAATTCAAGTTCAGGAACAGATGCAACATTACTGTATTCATTCTAAATGGATATAATAAAAATATTTAGTAATAATTATTGGTCCTGAAACAGCTCAAGTCTTTGAAAAGATGTCACAGTGATTTAATGCCTTATAATTTCATAGGAATTAAATTGTAGAGATACTTCTAACCTTGGGAAATAATTGGATTCATTTTATGGCTTGGTGAATAATTAATCTTGTCAAAAAAGCATTGGTTCCCAAAGAAGCTATAAGTTATTTGAAATTATAGATAATTACTAATATTCTCATCACAAACTTGAAATGAGAGAGTGAATTTTTTTTAACTCAGAGAGGTGAAGCAGAGGCAAAATAGTTTGTTACTAAATCTGTGAAACTCTGACTGGACTTAGGTCACAGTTGGCTGTATCAGTATTCTCTTTATCATCCTTCTAAAAAAAGAGTGTGAGTTAACAACTCTGTGTGTGTTGTTTTTGTTTGTTTCTAGGGTCCACCAAAATATACAAAATCTGTTCTTAAAAAAGGAGATAAAACCAACTTTCCTAAAAAGGGAGATGTTGTTCACTGCTGGTATACAGGAACACTACAGGACGGGACTGTTTTTGATACTAATATTCAAACCAGTAAGTCTAAGTGTAATCTTAGCTTTTTGGTTTTCGGGCATTGCAAGATATTTGTGTGGTAGCAGTGGTTGGCAGTACTTTTTCCTTGGCTGTTACTTTTTTCCAGAAGTCTTGCACGTGTAGTTTACTTCTAAGAGGTCTTCAGTTCACTACTTACAGCTGCATGTAAATAATTTGGCTTTTATCAGTTCACTACTTACGGCTTGGTCATTCCAAAGCACAAAATACAGAGGCTTAATCTAAACTTGGTTTATGTCCCAAATTCAATACAAAAGGCAGAATAGTGTTATTATTTTAATGGTGTAAATATAGGTCCTTTCCCTCTCCCCTTTAGACCGTAATTATTTTTACATCCAGAATTTCTTTGATGAATTACCTGGCTTTCTGAATTTTTCTCTTTTCAGATGCATAAATTCATGGTTCAATTCTGAAATCAATGTAAAGACTTAAATCACTATGTTTTTCAGTTGGAACTTAATTTTATCATTAATTATAAGGAAAATCTGTTTTACAGGTTCAAAGAAGAAGAAAAATGCCAAGCCTTTAAGCTTTAAGGTTGGAATAGGCAAAGTTATCAGAGGAGTAAGTAAAAAATGACAATAAATTAGTACATATTCTGGCACATGCTACTTGTGGTATGGTGCCATAAAGAGGATTGGGGATATGATGAAAACAATCTTCGAGTCTGACAAATCAAGTGCTATCATTGCTAACTAATCTGGCACAAGTTAAGCTCTCTGGGTCTCAGTACAGCATACCTCAAGGTTGTTACAAGATTAAATGGGTATAACCTAAAGCACATAATATAGTAAAAACTCAAACATTTCCTTCCATGCCTACTCCTTTGATTATTTTTTCTTCATAAAGTAATTGTCAGAATGTCTGGCTTTCTAAATTTGTAAGAATCTTGTAACATTACATAGCTGTTGTACTACTTATTCATGATTGAGAAAGGTGCAATATCTATTCCACTGAAGACTGAAGTACTGATAGAAGCAAGAGTCTGTTCCCATAGCCTTCTCACCTCTCACAATTTAGGCTCAAACACTAGAAAAACTTTCAAATACAAGCATGCCTTTACACATGAAACTGAGAAAAGGGAAAGTTAGGCTTGAGCTCTACTGACCATTGCCGTGTACAGAAGGAGATGAAAGAGCAGGGCTGGTATCAACCTCACTGAATCAGATTAGGGCCCACTTACTACTTTAAATTGTCTTTACTCAGAACATCAAACATTAATAACCAAAACTCCTATTAAAATGCAGTTATTGTAAACCTTCAATGTGTTATTCTTTATGCTCTGGTTAAGTCCTAAAATGTTCAATCATATCCAGAGCCCAAAATAGAATATAAAACATCTTGAAACTAAAGGTTTATTAGTTGAAATAACTATATACTACCTGATTATACCAAGTTGATAGCAAGTTAAGCTGTTTGTTTCTACAACTAACTTGCTTACTGATAAATTTGTTCTAGTCAACCATATTCTTAATTTCTAGTATGTGACAGGTCTATATCCTTTGAGTTTTATATATGATTGTTACATTTCAACAGAGTATGTGATATCAGTAATATATTCTGTATCTTTGCATCATGTTGATTTGTTTTTGGTAACTTGGTTTTAAGATCCAAATTTATACAAAACGGAGCAGAAACCCAAAAACCTCTATCATTTCCTTGAATAGTTTTACCTTCTGCATGAGATCTCAATGCTTTAGCAGGTAGTTTATTTTATGTGACATCATGCTCCACTATTGCAACTTGGTAATCTTAGAATGGTTTTAGAGTGAGTACTTGTTACCTGTAAAAATAAATTCAGAAGTTTGTCCTATGATATAAAAGTATAACAGATTTTTTATGATAGTACTAATAAACCTACTTCCATAATGTATAACATGTTGCAGTTTACATAAGTGCTTTTACACTGTCATTTTGAAGAGTTCGAGTGTTTACATTAAATATTGTTTAATATGTCCATAATTTTTTCATTGAGGAAATAAAGGACAAAGATTTAGGGACTCACCCAAGGATATTACCTTAGGACATAATGAAATCCTGTTAACAGAATGCCTTTTTCTACATAATCTTGCCTTTCTTCTGGTTTTGTATGTACTTTCTGTAAAGTATCATTAGTTTTGATTTTATGTTCTTGCTTTTAGTGGGATGAAGCACTCTTGACTATGAGTAAAGGAGAAAAGGCTCGACTGGAGATTGAACCAGAATGGGCTTATGGAAAGAAAGGACAGCCTGATGCCAAGTATCCTTTTTTCCTTTGTACTTAGAGAAAAAACACCAAGAAAGATCACTTGAGGTATGAAAGAGGCTGTCTAGGTTAACCTCCAGGTCAGGAATCCTGTCCAGACCAGTCCTCCTGATATTTAAATGCTTTTGTGTCAACACCTCCAATATAGACAATAGTTACTATTTTCTGTTGGTACAAAATATTCTAATTTGGGTTGGAATCTCTTTTTCTTGCAATTTAAGCTCTTAATTTTCAAAACCCAAACTGAGGTTTAAGTTTTCATCTTTGAAGGCTACTTTCAGTGTTTGAAGGATTTACTACTTCAGGAGTTAAGATGCTCAATACAAACAACTGTAGCAAACTGTAGGATTCAAATACGGATCCTGGTAATTTTATGCTACTGTATAATTTAAGGCAGCAGTTAAATGGGTACTCAAAGCTTAGAAATGTAACTATGTTGGGGATTACCAGTTGTGAAAGGAAGGAGACCGTATGTCCAACATCATAGTATAAGCATTTGTGATTACGACTGATGACAATACTTTTCTGACAGGCCCAATTGTGAACATTAAAAAGAGAAGAGCCATGACTCCAGTCTATTATGACCAGAACAGTCCAAAAGATAAATGGGAAGGTAGTTTTTTCTGTTGTTGGTTCCATTCTCAGTGGACTAATTGGAACAGTTACAATAAGTTGGGGGAGGGGGTAATTGTAAGTCCATTCTGGTTCTTACCAGGTAAAATTACTTGGAAATATAATAGCCTTCTCACAGTATCAAAATTAGATGGCCAGCTACAGCTCCCTCTCTCTCATGTAAAGTTTTTCAAGACCAGTCAGGTAAAAATCATCTTCTCTGAACTGAACATATGAAAATTCACAACAAATATCAGATACTACCTCATATGAATTTTGATTTAATATGACTCATGTACCCAGCTAGATTGAAATCTTTTGGTTTGGTTTGGAGTACTGAGTTACAGTCTTCATCAAGTAGTGGTTAATTTGGGAGTACTAGTGAGGCATCCAGTTAAGATCATTGTTCAAGCTCAACTTAACTAGTCAGTCTGTATTGATAGGTTATGATCTTCATTCACAAAAATACTTTTAGGAACCTTTGGGTTAGTATGTATTAGCCTCTGAGTCAACTTATAAAGCCCTCACTTTGGCATTAATTCCCAGTATTCAATATACATAATTCTGATTTTAGACTAAGGTTATTGGGAGTTAAGGGGAGAGGCAGTTTTTATCTAATTTACCTTGACTTCTTCAACAGAATTCCACCAAATGCAAAACTTATTTTTGAAGTGGAATTAGTGGATATTGACTGAAACAGTAATGCTTCAGATCTAAAGACATCAGCAACAATAAAACGTAGCCTTGAAGGAAACATAAGTATCTAATTAGAGCTGGTTACTATTAAAGGGAAGAGTCAACTGGAAAATTCAAGAAGTTAGAACTTGTTTACTTGATCCCCAACTTTTAAGAAATGTAATCTGTTAATAAACCCTTGCAGTTTAAAATATTTTACTACAGCTGTGTAAAACATTGGGTAAAGAGAACTGATTTTCCTTGTATGTCATGTTGTAAACTAAAAGGCTCAATAAAAATGTATCCAATGTCTTGATTTGTTTGGTGTTCATATATTAATGTTCTGATTAGGTTAACCAGGACTAAGACTTCATCAGACCCGGGATTACCAGTTGTCTGGAGAGCTTTGCCAGGAAAACTCATCTTAAAATACTTAAATTTTTGCATAGAGAAGGCAAAAGTATAGAGATAGAGAGGAAGCAAAAGGCTAAAACTAAAAGGTCTAAGAAATTTTAAGAATTTAATAGCTGAATTCAAGAAAAGCATACATCAAAACAACAGTGAGTAACAGTGAATATAAAGTTAGTATTATTGGGTGACTTCCCCCCCCAAATAAATTCATAACAATTACTGGATGAGTCTTCAGTTTTATTACAAAAATGAAGATGATCAGTTTGATCAAAATGAAAGCTTGCTCACAAGTTTTACATGAATATTCCAAATACAAAGTCTCCTGTAACAAGTTTTGATACAATTTTCACTTTTTTAAAGGGATGCAAACATTCCATTTCCTCATTTATAATCTCTATTCCAATACAGTATTTTAATAGGTATCTTTTCTGCTGTTAGATCCCAATTCACAAGGATAATTGGAACATAGACAAAATCTTTTGTCAGCAAAGGTTAAAAATCCTTTTTTGTTTTAAGAGGAGGTAAATCCTTAATAACCAGCCCTTACGTATTTTCAGAATCTTGTACTACACTGACATGATTTGCAGTCAGCTTTTTTTCCTACCCTTAAGGCTACAAAACTCAGTTGCAAATGCATTGCAAAAGAATTCTAGACCACTTAATGCAAAAAATCAAAAAAATAGTTCTCCGATAAAAAGTAAATTTTATAAATGGTAGGAAATAGTATCTGTGGTAAGCTACTAAGTGACATTTTCCCCTATTACTAAACAAATCATGTTACACAGAAACAGGGAAGACAAGTTATCAAATACAACAAGCTTACGCTATGTTTACATCCCTCATTAAAAAAAAAATAATTTCATACTTTTCACACAGGGAATCTGGTATTTATTTTTCACATCAGGTTGGAGGGGGAGGATAGTATTGTCCATAATTCCAAGGATTCTGATAATTGTACTGAAAGGAAAAAGCAAATATGTTAGCATATAAGAACTATGGCTGAGTTCCACACATAAAAACAGAATTAAAGCAAGTACATTTAAGAAAATAGACATGTTCACTGCTGAAATTCCATGTCTTAACCACAAAAGGTAACATGCAATATGCAACAGAAACAGTTTTTCTAAAGAAAAAAAAAGGCTATCCTAATATAGGCATTTCTAATAACTTCTATTAACAAAAAATTCAATTATGCACACTCACTTGATACCAGGCACTATAATTATATGCAGCTTGATTTGCTTGTAAGTCACCATCAATCATCTGTGTAGATGATGAAGTTGTATCTTCTGTGTGTGCTTTCTTTTCCTCTGGTTCCTCTGATCTAAATAAAAGGTCAAAGTGGAAACTTTCAAAACTGCCACAGGTAAGTATTTTAACAAATGGATAAATGTCATCTGTGTACATTTATCTGAAGTTCTCAACCACTCATATGATTTCCAAATTACCATAACATAAAGGTAATACTTGTCTTTAAAGACATTTCCACAATGAAATGTCTTTTAAGCATCCCTTCCTGATTCAGTCAGAACTTACATACCCATTTTCTGCTTTCCTTTTTAAAGAATCCTGTTCTTTTAGGAGTGTTTGATGTTCGTCATAAGCATTCAGAAGCCTGAGAGGGAAGGAAAGAAGATCCTTTGAACTACACAAAAGCCAAGCTTAAAATTTTTAAGTTCTTTCCACGAAGGGAAATAAAAGCGTGTTGCAGTGAACTTTTTTCTTTTTTAAAGGAACCAGCAGGCAAACCTGCCCTGCACTTTCCTTCTTGGCCCATATGGTTTAAATGAAGCTTCAGGGATACAGGCCTTGCCAAGTACATTACTACATACCCTTGACCAGTAATTGGTTTCGAGGTGAGCATATGACCCAAACCAGGATGTCAGTAAATCCCAGGATTTTTGACTGAGCTATTGGAAAAGTGCCTGTTCTCTGTACTACAGCTGGCTAAAGCTGATGGGATGCTAGCCAAGAGCTAACTATGTTTATTATTCTAACACATGGGGAGAGCCTAAGGAGCTATCACACAACCAAGACAGTGACCTTGATGATGTGTTTCTGTCCAGTGCAACCGTGAGTCCTGACAGTTCTGTAATTTGTATATTTTTAAGATCAAATTTACCAATGCTTATTGAAGACACTTGCCACCAGTTAAGAGAAAGTGTATTTAAACTTTGGCCATATGATAAACTAAATTAGAACTAACATAAAACTACATTATAACTGGGTATTATTGATTAAAAATAATTTTTAATAAAAGTTTTTGATGTGACATGTATTATAAATCTCACCTGGAACTTGGAACTTCAAAAACAATGTCACTTGAAGCCAAACTGTGACTTTAAAATCATAATGACTGTTTTCCTTTTATCATTTTCTGGAGTATTTTTTATAAAGACAAAGATGGCCTTATTTTTTAAGGTAATCAAAAAACTGAACACAGATAATTAACATTTCTGTGGAAATGACCATGACACTTTACACGCACGTTCGACTTCCCTGGACAGCAGCCTGCATATATACACATTTAATAACAACTACCAGTAATACTGGTCCCAAAATATTCCATGGACAAAAACTGTCAACACCAGTAATTTCTGGATGAGTATTTACTCAGCATAAAGGACTTTAACAACTTGTTGGCTGGCAATAAGAGACTCAAAATTCACATGAGAAAAGTCTTTATAGACTGTGGAATGTAAAAGATTAAGTGAGAGCTAATATTTAAGCCATTGTCTGATTTGGGAACATTAATTCTTACTGATTCATTACCCTGCTACCTAAATTTCTAAGTGGCTCACTTATTTTCCATATCATTCCCTTTTTTAATTCCAACTACAACATTAGACCTGATATTGAGACCCTCAATTACCATATTTGCAAGGACGTAACTGGGATCTTATTGTCAAGCCTCAGATTTGTCTGCATATTACTACCAAATTCAAATATGTCATTTAACCTTGGCCCAAACTCTAAAAGCTCCCTACTGTCAACTGTGTACCACAGGTGCTCTGAACTCAGTCTAGCTTTAAAGACACAGCACATGTAGCATCAGGCCTTCACTGCTTCAGAAAACCCTTCAATCTAGCAGATGTTACTTTTACATGAACTTTTATTTGCTTTCTTTTATCCTTTCCTTAGCTTAATCAGAATCCAGTAGTTACTAAATGAAGCATCACCTCCTCTATGAAGGATGACAAATCCATTCTGTTCCACAGAGATCACAGCCTTAATAGTTATGTGCTACCTTGCATACTTAGGTATATATCCTATGATCATCCCATCCAACTAGACTAAAAGCTAGAAAAATATGCCATTTCTTTTGTATAGTGCAAAAAAGAAGACACTTAACAGCACGTGAGGTGGTTAAGAGCATAGACTCTGAAGTAGGTTCTAATCCCAGCTGCAAAATGTAATAGCTAAGTGACCTTGGAAAAACTGCCTAATCTCTCTTTAAGCCTCTCTTTGTCTGTTAGAAGGATAATAGTATCTCTTCCCTCATTAGACTGTTGTATTTTACATTAGGTAATTAATATAAAAGTCAGTATTATGCCAAGCACATATGTACAATTGTATTAAAATGTAACTCATGTTAAAAATGTTTTTCAGTTTAATTAAAATCTTATCAATCAAAATTGTAGACACACTTGCCTAACAGGAATTGGGATATTTCACTAGAATCAAGTAAGAAAAAATGGCAGCAATGCTCTAATCAATATTTCTACTCTTCTGTTTTGTAGATTTAAATCTTAAACTTGTCCTTTTCCCAGATCCCATACAGTGCACTCATTAGACTTTTACAATGCATGAAGATGAAGCCATTAGGCACCACCTTTGGAACCACATCCACCCTCTTCTCCAATCTGAGATAGAATGGCATTCCTACTCAAGATAACCCCATCCACCTCTGGTGGCCTAGGTATTAAAATGTTTGTGTTTCAAGGTTCGATCCTTCACTCATTTCCTTTTTCACAGAATTGCTGCTTCCTGCCTTCTTTCATCCACTCATTGTTTAAATTGCCATGCTAACATCTTGAGAACAGTTCTGAAGACAAACTATATGTCCTCCTATTAAGCACATATACATCTGTAAAATTTAATCTACCCCACATATATCTGAGGAAAAAGTAACGTAGGACACATTCTAAGTTTAACAATATATTATTTTGTACTCATCATCAAAACCCATCCAAAAATATCAATGCTCATTTACTATTCAAACAGATAATATATAATTAAGATCTTACTTATTAACATCTGAACCAAAATCTTCAAGAAATTCCACTTTTCTCTGAGAAAATGTAATTCTCATTTTAATAGGTAATGAACCATGTATAGCTTTGTCAAAACAATTTAGGATATTTTCTTCATTTTGTTTGAGGTCACCACTATATTCCATTTCAAGTAAATTGAGGTATAACTTTGTGTTCTCCTGTGTAAAAAGCAGTATCAATTAATGATATTTCTAAGATATTTTTATTAGACCACAGATATTTAAAATGCCTTAAATTTTATGTCTCAATTTGAAAAGTTCATTATTGAAAATTATATTAAAATGTAATTCATGTTAAATGTTTTCAACATATATCTAAACGGAAAAAAACTAATTAGCACATTGGTAGGTAGAGACATCATCCTAGTATCTCCCGAAATATGCAAACTGTTAAATGCCAAGAAATTAAAGTCCTATATCCTACCCTGGGTTTAATATGGCTTGACCTACCTGACAAATATAAAGTGAAATACGTGAAATATAAAAGAAAGATCTGTACAGTTTCCAGTAATCTATCTTTACAACTATAGATAATCATCCTAAACTGCAGCTGGAAGCAAACCTGTTATAAACCGGTGTCTTAAACAGACCAGGCATTAGACGAAAATCTAAGAAATGAGACATTTCCTAGC